CAAGATGTAGTTGTTACTGTTAACGATGGGCGAAGTTAACACCTGTAATTCCACCCTTTTGGGAGACAAAGTTGGGAGGATCACTTGTGCCTAGGAATTGAGGCAGTAGTGAACCACAATCATGCCACTGCACACCAGCCTGGACAACAGAGTGAGACCCAATCATTAACAAAATAAAACAAAAAGCTGTAAGCTAGGTCTCTACTCCCTTTTGGCTTCAGGTGTATCTGTACAGCTTTATGGCTTCTAATCTTGACTTACCCAACTAAAATCAACTCATCAATTCCACAAGTGGGGATTAAGGAAAATGCTTTCATCATTGTGTTCAATTTCAACAGAAGAACCATAATGATTTTGAGTAGATCCCAAAGAAGAGTTCCTTTGCAAATTTTCAATACATGGAGTCTTTCTAATTGAAAAATGTTAGCCAGATGAGGTGAATCACGCTTGTAATACTAGCACTTTGGCAGATGAAGGTGACCAGATTGGCTGAGCCCAAGGGTTCCAGACCAACCTGGGCAACTTGGCAAGAACTCGTCTGTATAATAAATATATTTTTTTAAATTAGCCAGGTGTGGTGGTTCATGCCTATAGTTCTAGCTACTTGGAAGACTGAGGTGGAAGGATCGCCTGAGCACAGTAGGGTCAAGACTGCAGTGGCCATCAGCGTGTCACTGCACTCCAGCCTGGGTAACAGAGTGAGACTCAGAATCACACCAAAAATGTTTCTGGTAATTTAGTAAAACAAAACAAGGAATGATCTTCAAAGCAGACAGGTTCCTATGCATGCAGGTCATAGTTCCAGCACAAAAGGACACAGGGACAGTATGAAGGCCCCAGTGGGCTGTCTCAGGCTTCTTCTAGGGCATCGATTGAAGGCGGATGTGCTGTGGCCCAGGAGACAGGCTGGTGTTCCTTTACTTTGCAGGTTCCTCCATAATACAAACCTTGGTTTTCAGCAGCTTTTAGGGGCAGCCTTGACTCAGAGAGGAGCCCTGGGTGTTGTCATCTAATCCCCTGCTAAGGTGGTGGCATGTCCTGGTTGGTTTCAAACCCATCGGTCCTCTCTGTTGGTAGCATCTGCCATTGGCTCCTGGACATGTGCTTCTTGACAGCGTTTTTGGCTCCTCTCAACTCCAGATACAGCTGTGAACCTGGTGGATGTCCAGCTAAGCAGCCTGAAAGAATCAGTCCCCATTCCCTCAGAGATGAGGGTGTTGGTAGGAGTTTTGGCTCATTGCAGCAAAGTTATCAAGTGCCCAGGCCCAAGCCTGCTCTTGGAAGGAGGAGCGGTAAGGGATACATAACTACACACTGAGTGTGAGTTCCACTATTAGGGGAGCCCAAACGTCACTTGCACACAATTTACTTATGAGAAATCCTCCTATATACCCCACAACTCTAAAATAAAATAAAATAAACTTTACACTTTAACAATGTCTTTTGTCTTTTCTTTTAGCAACCATGAAAAAACTAATTTAGATTCCCTTCCCTGTATCACAGATTATCTCAAAACACACAAGCTAGGACTAGAACCAGAGAAGATTAGATAATTTGTGGAAAGGAGGGGGAAGAAGAATGTCTTACTTTTTCCTCTCCTTCTCTAGGCAGATTTCATTTCTGTAGGGAAAGGAATCCAAATTTAATTGTCCTCTGAACACCAGCACCTCCAATACTCTATGAACAGAGAAAAGCAAATGGAAAGCTCAGTTAATTCTCAAAGCATTAAAAAGGAATATTCCAAACTCCTGCCCCTTACCCTTGTTTTCTGGGTCTCCCTCTCATCTACCTTTTGTCTGCTGACTATCCACTCTTTCCTCTTGGTAAAGAAAGCTACCCCTACTACCTAGCTTTGAAGCTCATCTTTGAAGGCTTAGAAACTTTCCTTATTCCAGGACATGCATCCTATTCTATCAAAATTGAGGCAGCTTTGTTATTAGCAAAGCAACCATATGTCTGAGTTTCATCACGAAGTTTTACTTCACATATTCTATTCTCTAGTCCCAAAGTGCTCCCTTATAACTATTGGCTTCCATTGTTATTCAGAAAATGTGGTCACTAAATTTCCCAGACCTCGGGTCAGGTTCAGAGTCCAACTTCTTATCTGTACCACTGACTGAGGCAACAGAGCTCTGGGAAGGAGAAGAGACTCACACTTTAAAAGCACTAGCACTGATCTGATCTTCTGATCTACTGAGCTGATCATAATTACTCAGTTTTGCTGTCAGCTTCCATGCTGTGAGAAATTCTAGATGATGAAATGCAATTACACACTTGTGCAAGTACAGAACAAGCCCACTGCAAAAGTTGCTACACCGGGGAGAAACTGGAGAGTTGGGCCTTTTCGTCCCTTTAGAATTTTCTATTTAACCAGAGAATTACTTGTTCTTATTGACCAGTTTGAATTATTGACAGAAAACCAGAACTTCCTATTTGTGTTTTTAACTCCATTCACAATGCATTTACTCAGAGGCAGCAGTATATCACCCCTTTTTTCTCCCCTAAAAAGCAAGAAATCTAGGAAAAGCATCTCTTACCTTGAAGAATTTCTATTTTAGCCACTGCCTAGATAACTAGGCAATATTCTATCTCTCTGATAGAAAATCCATATAATTCAAAGGAATTCTAATCAGAGGGAAATGACACCATATGCAAATCCCTGGTACATTCCAGACTAGAAATGCTTACTGTTACCTTTTGCTGAGGCTTACTGGATTGTGATGCATTCTTTCGGGCATGTATATTTCATATTTCACCTTGGAAAAGCGATATTATATAAATGCCCTATTTCACAGGTAAAGAAAACAAGATTTTATAGTCAGTAAAGACCCATGTATGCAAATTCTGTATGCACTCTTACTCTACATCCTTTATTTAAGAATTTCTAGAAAACATCAGGAACACATGGCAAAATGAGATTTTTTTTTTAACTTACCTTTTTACAAATGGGCACCTTGGCTTTTAAATTATCAATGGCATAGCTCACAGCTTCAAGAGATGCAGCCCTGTGGACTGAGGACACAGCAATGATTATGCTTGCTTCTGACACTGGAACCAAGCTTTAACAAGATGAAGAATAAAAATTACCATCACCTCCTAATCTATGTGTTAAATAATCTGCTAGGCACATTTTAAAAAACAAACAACAACAACAAAAAAACAGTTACACATTCTTAGAACTATGCTGTAGTTCTACTTTACTTAAATATCCCATTCAGTTAGAAAACATTAACTCACCCCAGTTATGTTCAGCAGAGGAGATGCTGAGACTGATGTTGAGTCTAGTTTGTCAGCATCTATCCACTAAACCATTTAATGGGCATGAAGATGGAGGAGTCCTTTCATTGACTCAGCAAACATCTGCCTCAAACAAGACACAAAGCAAAGTAATGCCTAAAGGTACAAAGTTATAACACCTGACAATTATGACAAAGAATTTAGAATACAAAATAGCAATCAGTGCTAATTAATAGGACTGATGATATTAATCATTAATAAAACTACTGGTTATTAATAAATTTATAGTTATTAATCACAAAATAATAACTAATAGAATATGATAGATGATGTCTAAATAGTTGGTTTCTTTTTAAAGTCCAGAATTCTTCTCATATAAGTGATACAAAAAGCAAACTACTTTAATGATGTTCAAAGGCATTTATATAAAAAATAATCTATAACAGACTGTCATATGAACAGAGTCCAGACAACAAAACAACTCTCAAGAGGCCTCAAGGCCTTTAGCACCCCTGAGGCCCAGGGCCTGAAAGTCTTGGCACATGTGCACTTTGTTACAGCACCAAGAGCAACATCAGCCTGCCCAATATTACAACCCAACAAGCAGTCACTGAAAGCACCGAGACCATCCCTTCTATCCTCCAGAAATAACATACACACCTTCCTACTGGTAGTTTTGAATTTTTAAGAAAGATTCAAGAACCAGGAGCAGCACAAAGATGGAAAACAACTATACTTAACTTCTAAATTGATAAAGGAAATCATACCCAAGTCTATGGAACACTGCTATGTGTTTGGTCATTTCTGCCTAATGTCACTACAAATCTTCATTTTCCACCATGGGTAGATAGGCTTCATATTCTAAGCTAATGACTTTTTTCCCCTTCAAAGTTATTTCTTGTAGTTCCTAAAAAAAAGCAAAAACATATATATATATATTAAAATAAGACCTTTCCTTTAATAGAAATAGCACATTAATATAATAAATTATTTTTGAATAGTAAACCAGCAAAACAACTTGTCTAAAAGTTATCTTGAAATATTCTAAAAGCAAGACTTGATTAGAAAAACAAAAATTATTACAAACTTGATAAGGAAATAAAATAATACTGGTGAAGCAAGCTTATTGAAAACACATATGACAAACTAGATCATTTGATACTTACAAGGAAAATATTTATGTTCTAGGACTATCATCAAGTACACTTTCCCTTCAATATGTGGAAAATATTGAACCATCTCTGCTAACATGACTTTTATCTTACTTTTTAAATGCCTTGCAGTTTAATACAAGTT